GGATGCAGGTCTTCGAGAAGCAATGACCCCCTGTAAATTCATGAATGTGGTCATCAGCCTCACCATGCTGGTCATAGGTTGGCCATATACCAGAAGCCCAGAGTCGCTGATGGGAGCAGGATCCAGCTTCCCTGGAATGTGCTGGCTTCACGGAGCCTCCACCCCAGAGAGGCACATGTGAGTGCCTAGTCCTCATGCCTGAGAGCCCACTGATCTTCCTTCCAGCCCTGCCACACACCCAGCACTGACTCTAGAGATGTGTGAGATCAACTGTAGAGTTCCTGAGTAAGGTCTCTACAGGCCACCTCTCAACCTCTTGGAACTGATAGCCAGCTACAAAGAAGAGGACTGTAGTGGACACCTCAATCCAATAAAGAGGATCTGATTTCCTTATCACACAAAGGCAGTACACCTGTGGGCAGAGTGGTAACTATAAGCAAAGGACTGACAGTTACACAGGAGACAGGCTGACACTGTAAGGTGTGCAGCCTGATGAATTGTCTCTGGCAGGCAAGGACCCCCCACACCTGTTGGCAGCTGGACAGAGCACGCACCTGACATTGGTGTGTCGCTTGACGTACAGGTTGTGGAAGTTGTTGGTGTTCTCCACCTGGCCCGCCTTGGGGCCCTGCAGCCTTTGGATGATCTCGGCTTTCATTTCCATGGCGATGTGAGCTGGCAGCAGGGAGAGCAGAAGACGCTCCTAAACAAGGCAAAGGCGAGAGAAAATGGCATTTCAAACAACTAAGTGAAGGCCCACATGAAATCATCGCTCATTCGTCAGGGGCCAAACTGGGGGACTACTTCCAAGTTAATAAACACATTATAGAAATACATAATGCACAAAACAAAATTTCCTAAGGTTAGAATGTGCTGTGACACCATTTATGATTTATTGAGTTCGAGACACATGACAGTAAAGGAAGGTAAAGATATTTGCCCAAGGATATTATTTATCTATCTTAAAGTAGAGAAACAGAAACAATATTAAAATACTAGAATGCAGTGGTCAGACTAAGACAGGAAACATTCAGTTTCCACCTCTCGCTCATTTGAGAGAAAAAGCACACATTTCTGTAGAAAGTGAAACACTACTGTAATTCCTCAAATAAGAACCAAATATTTAAAAATACACCAATGCGCTGCATAACATGCATTTTCACAATGTCTGACCACAC